TTCTCTCCTAAAACCAACCAAGAAAAATGGTTGCGGCGAGTCCCGGTGGCTCGATGAAGAACTTAACCACCCAAATCCTAACCGGAAGATGGTTCATGTTCTTTGCGAGTCTCTTGATCATGTCCACGGCTGGAGCCACTTACATGTTCGGTATTTACTCAGCCGATATCAAGAGAACCTTAGGCTACGACCAAACCACTCTTAACCTCCTCAGTTTCTTCAAAGATCTTGGAGCCAACGTTGGAGTCCTCGCTGGTCTAATCAACGAGGTGACTCCACCTTGGTTCGTACTATCGATTGGAGCCATACTTAACTTCTTTGGTTACTTCATGATTTGGCTCGCCGTTACAGAACGGATCTCGAAGCCTCAAGTTTGGCACATGTGTCTCTACATCTGTGTCGGAGCCAACTCGCAGTCATTTGCTAATACCGGAGCCCTCGTCACGTGCGTTAAGAACTTCCCGGAGTCACGTGGAACAATCTTGGGGATTCTCAAGGGTTATGTTGGTCTTAGTGGCGCCATTATTACACAGCTCTTCCATGCTTTTTATGGTGACGACACCAAATCTCTCATCTTGTTGATCGGTAAGTACAATCTCTAATCATCGATTAGACCATATGGTTAATTATATGAAAACAGAGGGAAAAAAACAGAGGAAAAAACAGAGGTCAATGATTATGATAGGAATCTTGATGAGCTCAAAATGTCTCTTTTTTTTGTAACTAACCGAATAAATCTTGGATCGAAACACATAGTAATCGTATGAATGACTATATTTTGTAGGTTGGTTACCGGCAGCAGTATCGTTTGCGTTCTTGAGGACGATAAGGTTGATGAAAGTTGTGAGGCAAAAAGATGAGCTAAAGGTGCTCTATAACTTCCTATACATATCTCTCGGGCTCGCTACGTTTCTCATGGTGGTCATTATCATCGACAAACTCTCCGGCTTTACAAAGAGCGAGTATGGAGGTAGCGCATCAGTAGTGATCATCTTGCTTCTTTTGCCGATCATGATCGTAGTTTTGGAAGAGAGGAAGCTTTGGACGGTGAAACAAGTCGCCTTAAACGATCCTGCACCGATCAGAATCGTCACCGAGAAACCCATCTTAGATTCATCATCAGAGGACCGAGACGATGATAAAGAGTCCAAGAAGGATGAGGAGAAGGTGAAAACGGCGTCGTGTTGGACGACTATGTTTAGTCCACCGGAAAGAGGAGATGACTACACGATCTTGCAAGCGTTGTTCAGTGTAGACATGTTGATATTGTTCTTAGCGACGATATGTGGTGTGGGAGGGACTTTGACGGCGATAGATAACTTGGGACAAATCGGAGGCTCGTTGGGTTATCCAAAGAAAAGCGTAAGCACATTTGTGTCACTCGTAAGCATATGGAATTACTTCGGTCGTGTGGTTTCAGGTGTGGTCTCGGAGATCTTCTTGATCAAATACAAATTCCCAAGACCTCTAATGCTCACATTGATCCTCCTCTTTTCGTGCGCGGGTCACCTCCTCATCGCTTTTAATATCCCCGGTGGACTCTACGTAGCCTCGGTCATCATAGGGTTTTGTTTTGGTGCGCAATGGCCGCTTCTATTTGCTATAATCTCCGAGATTTTTGGACTTAAGTACTACTCGACGTTGTATAATTTTGGCTCGGTCGCGAGCCCCATCGGGTCCTATTTGCTAAACGTTCGGGTCGCCGGGTATTTGTACGACGTGGAGGCGGAAAAGCAATATAAGGCATTAGGGAAAACGAGAGAGGAAGGGAGAGATTTGAATTGCATAGGCACGGCTTGTTTTAAGTTGTCTTTTATCATTATTACCGCGGTAACTTTGTTTGGTGCATTGGTCTCGTTGGTTTTGGTGATCCGGACCAAGAAGTTTTACAAGAGTGACATCTACAAAAAGTTTAGAGAAAAAGCCTTGGCCGCCGAGATGGAGATGGCAGCCCCAACTCCGGCTAAATCTACGGTGGCGGAGGAAGAGAAGGATGATGTTAAAGGCAAAGTAATAGGCAAAGGAGGGTAAAGTATGTTAAGTAGATGATTGTTACTAGATAAGAAAAGATGAAGTCTTTTGTACACATTATAAACTCCCGATATAAGCTATTGAAACCCATCGATATCACTCTTGTTTTTGTTTAAGCAATACTTTATTTGGCGTTTTTTTATCGTTTTGTGTGTTATGAGTTTGGATAGTAGCGAAGGGGTGAAATTTGGAGATAGGTAAGGGTCATGAGTCAACTAATGAGTTGGACTTGTGCTTTTGTGAGCCACATGAGACTACTTTGAATAAATCATTAAAAAGGATAAAGAACTGAATTATTGCAAGTGGGAAAGCTTGGCTCACGTGTGTTGGTACGAGTTGGACTTTTAATGTCGGGTATACACTTGCGTAATGTAAAATATGGAACGAGTGCGTCACCATGATTATGTGGAAAGTTGAACGGTAAAAGAACAAAAAAAATTGAAAACGTGCAACATTTCTAGAAATCTTATATATTCGGAAATTAAAATTTTCAAACTTTAGTTAGTGGGTACTGGATTTTAGAAAGATACACTTGTGAAAAAATTTCATTATGTGGTGGATAAGAGAATCGACAAAGACAAACCAATATGTTGTGGGAAAGTCAAAAAAGAAAATTCTCAAAAATAAATATATTACATGTGTTGTTTACCACCAAATCTAACCAATAATTTGTGGCAAAATCAAAAAGAAAAATTCTTTAAAAAAATAAGGAAGATATATATTACACTTGTTATTTTTGTAAAATTACCACTAAACAGTAACTATCCCAAAAGACAAAACAACATATTGTGGGAAATTCAAAAAAAAAAATTCTTAAAAATAATATATTACTGTTTTTTTTAATTACCACCAAAATATAACCCGACCAAAAAAAAAAACCACCAAAATATAACTATTCCAAAAGACAAACAAATAAATTTTAGGAAAGTCAAAAAAAAAAAAAGAATTCTTAAATATCCTCTATATATTAAAGGAGAAACATTTTGATGATGTGTCACCACCATAAT